TTCTTCAATAGGTGAAACGCCGACTGAAATTCCTCGTACCACACAAAGGGTGCATTAGATGCATGTAGTTTGTGAAGTAGCGCAGCTATCGAAGCGAAATTTCGTATGAAGCGACGAAAATATGATGCGAGTCCAAGAAAACTTCCCAAATCCTTAAGTCTTGTGGGGCATGGAAATCGAAGGACGGCAGCGATCTTTTCGGGGTCAGGGCGAATACCGTCCTTGCTGACGACATGACCGAGAACCTTGATGGATTTGGTGGCGAAACAGCACTTCTTAGTGTTGAGCTGCAGACCCGCACCGGCGAGGCATGTTAGGATGTCATCCAAGCGCCTCAGGTGCTGAGAAAACGTTGATGAAAAGATGATAATGTCATCAAGGTAGCAGAGACACGTCTTCCATTTCTGAACACGCAGGACGGTGTCGATCATGCGTTCAAACGTCGCGGGCGCATTCCAGAGCCCGAAAGGCATCACGTTAAATTTGTATAGGCCATTGGGGGTTGCAAATGCCATTTTTTTCTTTGTCATCATCGTGCATGGGAATTCGCCAATATCCCGAACGCAAATCGAGGCTTGAAAAAAATTCGGTGCCTTGCAGTGAATCATGGGTGTCGTCGATGCCTGGCACTGGGGTATACGTCCTTGCGTGTGATGTTGTTAAGTGCCCGGTAATCAACGCAAAAGCACACAGAGCCATCTTTTTTTCGTACCAAAACAACAGGGGATGACCAAGGGCTAGTTGATGGACGAATTATTTCTCGTTGAAGCATGTCAGTGACGTTTTCCTCGATGATTTTTCGCTCAGCGAGAGACATGCGGTACGGGCGGCGAGGTACAATAGATGTTCCCTCCGTCTGAATGCGATGCGCTGCAGTGGTAGTTCGGCCCAACGTTGAAGAGCAGGTGTCGAAAGAATCGGCGTGTTTCGTTAATAACACAAGCAACTGCTGCGCCTGGATAGCTGTTAAGTCATCACTGATAAGAGCTGTGAAGGGAGAGGATGAGCCAGGCTTATTCATAGAACAGTCGTTTGTTGAGGCAGGTTGAAGTGGCGTGACGCTGACAGGCTCACCATCCACAACAAAGGCTACTGCAGTGCCCTCTGGCAGGAGAACTTTCTCTGGCGTTTCATTCGTAGCAATGACGCGCGCGGAGCCATGGTGAAAGCGTACGACACCTGATGCAAGGGCTACGCCTTTTGCGACGCAAGTCGACGAAGGGGAGACCAAGACGTCACCGTGGTCGATGTCCTTAGAGATCAGGGTCACAATTCGTTCATGATGTGGCGGTAGTTCGAGATCCTCGCGAGCGAACAGGCGTAGTGGCTTGTAGACGCCTTCGTCGAACATGGAGTGCGTATTAGTTAGGTGCAGAATCCGTTCACCACAATATATAGCGGCTGAAGAAGAAGATAGGAAGTCCCACACTAGAATTAGCTCGTGAGACCACCGGGTAATCACAGAACTCGATGTAATGCAAAATGTCATAAATAAACACACGAGCAGTACAAAGAGCAAAAGGGCGGATAGTGTTCCTCTGGGCTTCGACTAGATTGGGTCCATTATAAGGTGTCATTACTTTTTTCAGGCGTTTGCACAAATCATACCTAATCACAGAAACTGTAGCACCGGTGTCCACCAAAGCGTTCACGAGAACTCCTTCCACCGTAACAGAAACCATGTTAAACGGGCGTGCTGGAAGAATATGAGTCCTACTGTTACATGCAGTTTCTCCTCCGAAAACTGCATCATTTAGTTTTCCGACCGGTTGTCAGTCGTAAGCGAGGCTGGCCGAAGAGAAGAGGAGGAGCGACGGAAGGGCGAAGGTTATCGGCATCGGCTTGAACGGTAACTGTTCCGCGTCTCAGTCGACGCGGGCGGAGATGGAGACTGCTGCTGTCCAGATGAATAACGACGAGCGTAAGAATCCCCACTGGAAAAGTCCCGTTCGCGCATGTCGTACCCGCGACACTCGTCCTGCTGGGGCTTGCGGCAGAAGCGCGATATATGGCCACGATATCCACAGTAAAAGCATGTTGGGCGAGATGGGCGCCAAGGCGGGTAGTAGAGGGCGTTCGGCGCATTGGGAGATAGCGCACTCAAGTGGACAGACGGAGGGTAGGGTGGGATTGGCCGGAAGTGGACCAGTGGTGCAGCAGCAACCGGCGTGAGTGATGGCAGCGGCGAAGTAGAGTTTACGTTGCGAGGAGGCGCGGCCGCAACTTGCGCGTACGTTGGAGGGCTAGACGGAGGTGGCTGTACGTAGGCTGGACCGGTGAATGATGTTAGTTCCTCCCTTACGATGTCACGGAGGGCCATGCTTGAAGGCTGTGTGACAGATGGAGAAGGTTGTGAGATGCCCATTGATTGAAGTTCTTCTCGTATGATCTCCCGTATCATGTCACGCATGTCCCGGTCTGCTGTACGGTGTTCACAATTGCCCGACTGAAGGCGAACAGAATCAAGTTCGTCGAGACGCTGACACGTAGAGACGACGTCAGTGACAGTAGAAGGATTCTGGGCAACAAGGGCATTCTAGGCAATGCTTCCGATGCCCTTCAGGATGTGGCGCAGTTTGTCCGACTCGGACATCGAAGAATAGACGCGCCGGTAAAGCGCTAGGACATCCTCGATGTAAGATGTGTATGACTCGCTGGGATGTTGTTGGCGAGTATCTAGGGCCCTCCTCGCTAGAGCGGATCGAACGGTTGGCATGCCCAATACTTGGCGAAGCTGCTGCTTCAAGGCAGGCAAGTTGGTGAGGTCGATCTCATGGTTCAAAAACCATGTCTTGGCAACGCCCGTGAGATAAAGCGATACTCGGCGGAGCTTGTTAGAGTCGTCTCAGTGATTAGTTGCGCTTACTCGCTCGTAGTTATCGAGCCAGTCCTCCACATCTTAGCTGCGGAGACCAGCGAAGATCGGAGGGTCACGCTGGTGGTTTATGATGTAAAGAGGAGCTGCTTGCGGCGCAGTGACGGCTTGCGGTGCAGAGACGGGAGCAGAAAGGGCATCCACCCACTCACTCTGAGGCATGTTGGCGGACTAAGGGTCCAAGCGGCGGCCTGAACAGAGCTCCACCGAGTAGGCGTTGTAAGGAGAGGTACTGGGAACGTCAATCCACCTCCACCACGTATGACGACTTGGTTGTAACGAGGTTTGTTGGTCGTGAACTCGGGAACGAACAAGCGCAACGGACCTGAAAAAGAAGCGCACGTTCCAAGAAGATGATTATTGTCAGCCAGAACATATGATGATGATTGAGTGCTGTTAAGATGAGGATGAAGCGCATAATAGATGCCTACAATATATATATGTGACGCATTAACAAGGCGATTCTAGGAGAAGCCGACGAAAAGGAAGTGCGCGTGCATTAGAATAAACGCATGGCACCTGGACCACGACGTTACGTCCAACGTAGTGAAAAACTCCGCCTTTCCCAAGTGGTCAAGAATATCATCTGTACGTGGAATTGGTTGAAAGTCGGGTACCGTTATGGCATTGAGTTTCCGGTAGTCAATACATAGACGAGTGCGTCCTTCACCTTTCTTTTCTGCTAAAATGACAGGTGCGGCGTAGGGCGATAATGAAGGCCTCACGACACCTTGCTTGAGGAGAGCGTTAACTTGTTTGTTGATCTCCACTTTTTCTGCCTGTGAACATCGGTATGGTGCTCGACGAATAGGGACAGCATTGGTAAGTGCGATCCTATGTTTGTCAGTAGTGATGCACCCAATATCTGTCTGAGATTTCAAAAATATCTCGTTATACTTGCTTAAAAGAGAGTCGAGCGCCACAGACTCATGCTCTGATAAGTTTTCTGAAGTCAGGGTTCGCATCTGTGGGGCTTGAATGGTTTTCTTTTCATTGTGATGCGGAAGGTTCATATTCTCACGTGCTTGTGCCACTGACTTGCTTTCCAGATTTACAGAAATATTGCAGTACGAAGCGCTGTCTAGGCCAAGAATTAATTGCGTTCTCATGCCTCGCAGCACTTGTGCATGAACTTTCTTTATGACGTTCCCAATACGTAACTGAATGTTTACGCGACCCAAAGTTCGAATGCTTGATGTAACTTGCTGGACTATGATGCTGTAGTCTCTCATCAACTGAAGCTTTAGCTGTTTGTACACATTCTCGCTGATACAAGTAATTGTTGCTCCTGTCCTGGATCTGGCTCGCGGGGAGAAGGAAGTTGTGGTTCCGGCTTCGTTCTTGGCTCTGGCTCACGGGGAGAAGGAATTTCATGTGGACGGGGTGGCAGTGGTGGGGGTGGCGGGGGTGGAGGTGGTGGCGGTGGTGGTGATGACGGCGGTGGAGCCGTCGGTGCCGAGTGTCCTGGTTCTTCTGGTGAAATGGGCTCCTTCTCAGTGCTTTGCACGCTCTCCAATGAGTCTCCGCCGCTGCTCGCCTCGTTCTCGCGTCCATTACGGGCCCCGGCCTTCTTGCATGGTGACTTGGTTCTGCATCAGCAGGACCTTGGGTGTTGGTACATCGGAGGAGGTCGTTGCCACGAAGGGGCACTCCCCCTGTCCTGGGAGTCCTCCTGGCTCCTGTTGCCACTTCCGCCGCTACCTCCCCGTACTCCTTCTTCGAGATTTCTACCGGAGCTGTTCCGTCCTGCCATTTCCAGGTTGCTCTGAAAACGGCCACCACCAGAGCCATTTTGTCCTACTGCTTCCATGCTGCTCCGCGAGCGGCCACGTCGCCTACGAAAGTAGCGGCCGTAGAACCGCCGTGGAGGGCGCCGGGGCGGGGGTTCGTTGAAAACCTCTTCTTCGGCGTACGCTGACCGTGGCTCATCGACAATGAAACGCTGCGGTGGCGGTGGTGGTGGAGGTGGGGCTCGCGGAGGTGCTCGGGGCACTCCTCTGAAACGCTGGTTATATCGCCAAGGGTAGGGCCTCCCCACGCCGTCCATGATCCACCGTTTAGGAGCCGGGTCGTTCTGGTCCTGGTGCGATGGCAGTGATCGCGATGACTCTCGGTTTCCTGCTTCCTACCTTCGATCGTCTCCTCCGCCACGCCTTGACGCCGGCCCGCGCCTTCGTTGATTGCTACGTGGAATCCAGCGGGGTCGGAACGGGCGCCTGTTGGCCGCGTACGGGCTACCCTGAACAGGCTCACCATCGGGTCCGGTCACATTGGCTGCCTCGCAGCCCTGATCGCCGATCACGACGTCAAACTCGATGGTCTCACCTTCGCCAACGCTGCGCGGCAGCTTCTGTGGGTTGTTGCGCGTGGTGGTCGTCTGGTGGACGAAGATGTCCTCGTGAGTGTCGTTGCGATTGATGAAGCCGTAGCCGTTCTTGACATTAAACCACTTCACCATTCCCAGGACCCTCTCGGCAACGATAGGCTTCTTCCTGCCACTGAAACGACTCTCTTCGCCCATTGCCGAGTTGGCGGTGATCTTCGGAAGGGACCGGGTGCCGGTCACAGCTGCTGGAAGCCCACCTGGATGCGTGATGCACTTCTGGTGGAATGCGATGGCGGATGGATGGCATGTATCACATTCGGCACTGTGATACATGCAAGAGATGCAAGAAGACGAAAACAAAAAAGTTTGGGGCGCTTGCATCACTGCCTCCAGCTGAAGAGCCCTTCGACCTCTTTGCAATAGACACCATTGGAGGATTTTCTGGATATGGCTCGTCAAAAAGGTTTATACACTTGGTTATTGATCATGTGACTCGCTACGTATGGGCGTTTGCTCATAAAAGTGAGAACAGCGACGCCTACATTTCATGCTTAAAAACAATTTTTTTCTTCTGGAAAACCACGAAAGCTCCTTTCAGATCGTGGAACAGGATTTACCGCAGGAAAATTCAAGCAGTTTTTAAAACATAATCGTATACACCAACTATTTACCTCATCTCATCATCCACAATGCAACGGCATGAACGAGCGGACAAACCAGACCATCGTAACGAGACTTAAATGTAAAATCAATGACGAACCACAGAAGTCTTGGACTAAGCTGCTTCCGGAGGTAATTGAAGAATACAACAGAGCACCCCACGAAGTGACCGGCTACGCACCTTCCTTCCTGATGTATGGAATTCCATCTTATCCTACTGTACTGGAACAACGAGAAGGAACTGTCGATGAAGCGCGAAAAACTACAGTTACCAATTCTATCGCCTACCACAATAAGAACAAAGTCATTTATGATAGAAAATTTCTTCCGATTGAGTTCCAAGTCGGTGACCTTGTCCTTTACGAGACACCATGGCATCCCAACAACGGCAAACTGAGTTTCGTCATGAAAGGACCCTGCAAGATTCTACGCAAGTTCTCAACAGTGAACTATGAGATCAACCGCTCCGTGCTACCCTTACGTAGAAACTCTGACATTGTTCATGTTAGCAAACTGCGGCGTTATTTTGAACCTTCTGAACTGAGACTTTCTCGAGGGGAGGGGGAATTGTGACGCATTAACAAGGCGATTCTAGGAGAAGCCGACGAAGAAGAAGTGCGCGTGCATTAGAATAAACGCATGGCACCTGGACCACGACGTGTCTCCATTTGTAGCGTCACACACACACACACACACACACACACACACACACACACACACACACACACACACACACACACAGACATATATATATATATATATATATGTGTGTGTGCGTGTGTGTGTGTGTGTGCGTGTGTGTGACACTATGATGAATAGCAGACTTGGCCTCACTCATACGCCGCCATGTTTATTCCATTCTGACTTCTTCCTTCTCTGCTTCTACAAACCATCCATTCCATTATAGGTCACATGATTTCCCCTCCCACCTAAGGAAAGCATGAGTTACAACTTACAAACAAGGAAAAGTAAGCAAGGAGTGGCTTAGAAGTCACAAGTGTCAAAATAAAAAGGTAGTTTCATGAATTTTGAAATGTACGCGCCGTATTCTTCGTAGCAAAGACTTGAGGGGAGTGTGCAGCAGTCCGGTGATATCAATAAGAAATCTGGCGGGCGAGGATGATGGTTGCGTCCTGGATAACATAGAAATGCTTTGAACATAGAGATAGTGGAAATTGCAGCTGGCATTCTTGTGAAAACTGAACGAGGTTCGAACGCCTTGCAGGATCAACAGTTTGGATTTGGTAGGTGTCAAATTCCTTGTCATGGGTGATACACAGGTCGTGCAGGCAGCTTGTGTGCGCGTTGATCGAGGTTGGTTGGGTGCTGCCTGTGTTCCTGCCGAGGACAAGGAAAAAAACGCTACAAGCGCGCGACGAGAGCGGACGCGCGTCGCATCGGCTCCCGCTATATTGGTGAGGACCGGTGAAACCCTGCTTCACACTTCATCAAGATTGATCTTATCTTCTTTGTAACACTGTTCTGCACTAGAAGACATCTTTCTCATCCAGGTGGGCCAGTTTTGGGGCATTTTATGTCCACTTGTTGACCTGACCTCGTAGGACTTACGCTCGCCCGACCGAGCGTTTCACCGAACGCTCATTGGTTCGGAACTTCTCCGCGGCCACAGCCACAGATGAAGGCTACCATTCTCCGTCAATATGATCGCACGACGTCGGCGTGGAAAGGCGTTTCTACCCCTGTGCCCGAAAACTTCGTTCCACCAACGGATATCGCGAATAAGGGACTATTCACCGTGGTGGCCCTCCGTAAGCGTCGCCAGTAACCTAAAGCTATCAAGGCATCAGCATATAAAAGGCCGCGTCCGCGAACATACCACCCGAGAAAAAGACATCCCGTGTATTGTAACGGCCTACCGCTATGCTCCACAATGCTGCAGAAGACTTCACCATCGTGCTGAAGCCTCGTGTCACGGTGGATCTCAAAGCTACTTTTCAACCAGGTGAACTAGGCGCCATGCTAACCTCATACGGGAACGCTACCTCGAGTGATTCTATCAGTGTGTGGTCCATGTGTGAGCAAAATATCATTGTTGTCTCAACCGCCAACATCAACTCTGCGAACTTTCTCTCTCGAAAATTCTCACTCGAAAAATCACAATGTCCCCTACCAATCATCGGCCACACCAAGATCAGTGGGGAAGTGGGCCGTGGCGTCATTACGGTGCAGGAACAGGAGACCTCCACCTCCTTGAAAGCAAAGATTCATTGGCGTGGTGGAAGCATCGCTTTCATCAGAAAGCTTGGCGAGACTTCGGTAGCCCTTATAACTTTTGAGGGCTGCCACGTGCCACGTTTCGTGCACTACAACAGAGTTGTGACACCAGTATGGAATATAAACGCATCATTCCAGCCTGCTACCGTTGTGACAAAGTGGGCCACCGAGTGAAGCTGTGTCCACACCCGAACGACCTAAACGCTGCGGCCATTGTGGTCAAGTTGTGGGTGCTTCTGAGGAGGAGATGGCACCGCACGAGTGCAAGCCACCGTGCCTGGTTTGCTGTGAGGGACACCTCACCGGATCCCAGGCCTGCAAAGCAAAGTTTAGCCTGCTGCAGCAGCCGGGCGGGCATCATAGCAGTCGCGGCTCGTCGAAGCACTGGTCAACTACCAAAACACCTGGTGTCGAGCCAGAAGGACGTCAGCCGAGAGCTACCAACCAAGCCGCGAAGAACCCTGCTACTGGAGGGACCATTCAAAAAGCACCACCTCCACCTAAGACACCGTCACAGCAAACGTCTTCCAAGACATCTGACCAGGGTTCCCTCATGTTCCAATCTGGGGATGGTTCACCTCTGACTGATCCCGGTGCGCGTAAGCAGCCGAACAAGAAAACTGCTTCTCAGGTAGGCAACGGGGCGAGGGCTGCCTCCTCCTCCTCTTCTTGCTGTTTCTTCGGCGCCTCCTCCCCCGGATTCCTCGAGCTCAAACAAGAGCTTGCTGCGCTGCGGGCGCAACACGCGCAGCTTCAAGCCCGAACTGCCGCCTTTGAAACAGGTAATCCACCAGTTCCCCCCGCGTCACTTCCCACCAATATTACCATTCGCCCTCCAGAACCGATGCTCATGTGCACCATTCCTTCCGTCTCGGAGCCTTCTAACACTAAAGAGAGATTTCAGACTATTGAAAGTAATATGTCCGCTTTAATGACACAACTCACCGCCATAAGCAAATCCCTGAAAACTCTTTCCAACACTGTTACCCAACTGGTGACGAGTAACATTAAATCTTGGCTCCATGGCGTAAACCCTCGAAGCCGAAGGGCTAATCCTCTGAAGGGCGTTAATCGTCCCTTTAAGTTTTCACACGCCATCAGCCTCGCTGAAACCTCCGAGGACTCCGAGCTCCCACTTGCACAGGGTAAAGGTAGAGTCCATCCCAGCCACCCTAAATTCTCAATATGTCGACTCATACTAGCTGCTCCACATCGCCACACCGAAAACCTCAGTTACTCTTTTTAATTCAATGGAACTGTAGAAGCTTCAAAGATAGGGCGAAACAGGCCCATTCCCGCCTCTTTCTTGAAACATTTGAGCACCTGTGCGCCGTCATTGCCCTTCAAGGTCACCGGCAATGCCGTGCGCATCTCAGGTTATAACACTTTTCAAAGGGACCCATTCACCTTACTTCTTGTTCATAAAACCTTGACTGTGCAAGAGGTCAGCTTCGCAGTTTAAATACCATACTCGTACACTATAGTGACGGTTCTTCCTCTGCGAGAACCGACCCCCAGTGCGCATCCTCAATATTTATTGCAAACCTAAACTCAAAAACATCACATTCGCTGATGTCTTCAGCAGGGCACTGAAGATCGCCGGGCATGACCCTCTTTTAATGATGGGTGACTTCAACGCCCCTAGCAGGCTTTGGTCCCATCGCAAGGAAGAGGCCCGTGGAAAGGAAACTTGCGGAGCTAACTTCCACGCTAGGCATGACTCTTCAAACAAACCGCGCGCAACCAACTCATGTAGGTAACTTTGTCAGCCTGGACACCTGCCCCGACCTAACATTCACGAAAACATTAGACACGCAGACTGGTTCAATACCGAGAAAACACTCGGTAGTGACCACTGCATTCTCAACACTACATTTTCTGCATGACCCCTACCACGCCCCATCGCACAGGCTTATATACCAAACTGGGAAGCACTCCGGCAGTCTACCTGACTCTCCCATCCTGGAGATCGGTTATTACCCGTGGGCTCCCTCTGTGCTGGAAACACAAAGAAAACGGAACACCAAAATACAACTCACGGATAGTCATCCGTATGTTAACCATCTCCTTCATCTTTGGGAGGCCCGTTGCAGCCTTACAAAGAGATGGCGCCGACAAACTACAACCGCAAACTCCGCATGCGGATACTGGATCTCACCCAGAAGGCGGCCGAGTACTTTGCCAAGCTCGGCGACTCAAATTGGGTAGATCGCTGTAACGCTGCCAGCAGGCAAATGTCCAGTCGCAATACATGGAAACTCCTCCGCAGTCTGAATGATCCCACTCAAACGCGAGGTGAACTGCAAAAACAACTGCACCGAGCCTTTCACAATTTCCACGGCTCCCCAACACAACTAGCCCTATCACTACAAGACCGATATCTTTGCACTCAGCAGGACACGCCAGGCTCCGCGTATAGCTATGCAAGCAGAGAGAACTCGGCCCTGGCTGCTCCTTTCCAATTACACGACCTTCACGCCACTCTTGCCAAAATGAAGCGAGGTACTGCTTCCGGGTGAGACAAAATTACCGATAAAATTCTGGCAAATCTACCCGATGCAGCACACCAGTCGCTTCTTGACTATATTAATGCGATGTGGTTCAGAAAAACGCCCCTCTCTCTAGACTGCAAAACGTCTCTAGTAACCTTTTTACAAATCCGGGAAAACCGATCAACACTGAGAATATCAGACCCATTTCTCTTACTTTTTGGGCGGGCAAGCTAATGGAAACTATGGCCAGGGATCGTGTCTCTTCCTTCTTAGAAGAGCGCCACATTTTCGCCGATTCTATGTATGGCTTCAGGCCCAAGAAACCATCGCAGGACGTACTCCTACAACTACACTAAGAAGTACTTAATCCCACAGAACACCCCCAAAATGACAAGATCATTCTAGCGCTTGACCTTAAAGGAGCCTTCAATAACGTCAAGCACGAAGTCATCTTAGCTCATCTATGTTACAGTGTACTAGAAGAAGGCAATGGGCTTACTCCGCCGCTCCTCTGACGCAGTTGGTGTCGCATAGGAGAGGTGGCGTCACAGGCATCTTTGATGGAAGCTTTGCCTGTAGAAGCTGCTCACTGCTGGCGGCCCGTACAAGTTGTGACGCGCGTTTCTTCAATATTTATAATAAACTTTCTTGTATTTACTTCCCTTTGACTGTACTGAGAGCGTGTGTTGCTCTCGGTTCACCATTATTTCCTTTTTTTTCGCGATATATTTGCCGAAAGTCAGTCTGATGGCAGCTTATGCAGATATGCTTGCTCCTTTCTAGTGCGACGCCCTTAATGATTTTTATTGGGGTCGGGGGAGCTGGAGTTCTTTGCACATTTCGACAAGCACTACATTTGTTCAGGCCACATCGTATTTTCCCCAATATAACACCTCGCCGAGCCATAAAGGACGGTGTACTCGTCAAAATATACAGTTTCATACAGTGACCAGTCGTGTGCTTCGATCTAAGTGCACGTTAAGGAACCCCAGATGGTCGAAATTTTCAGAGCCCTCCACTACGGCGTCTCTCATAATCATGTAATGGTTTTCGAACGTTAAGCCCCAAATATTATTGATACAGTGACTAGATACACGGTTACAAGCTGCATAGACCTAACCTAAAATTATTTTGCAGCAAGATTGTGCCCTGCCTTCCACCAGATATTTAGAAAACAGTGCACGCTCGCTTCCTAGCCGAGCTTCAACATGCAAGTGTGCTGGCGGGGTCGGTGCCTTTGCTATGATGAAATGAAATTGTAGCTAAAATATCTTTTGTTCTAATTCGGCTGTTGCACATGGCACAGTAGCTTTCTGGGGTTTTAATAGCTACAATTACGCAGTTACACATCAGTTAGGTCTATTTACAAGCTTCTGTTCCTGACATGAACCTCTTATTTTCAAAACTGAAGCACAATATTCAACAACTGATTTACACACACTTTATTCACTTCATCATGTGCAATGGCTCAGCTTGAGCAGCTTGGCTCCCTGCCACTTTCCTCTTTTGTCACTGTTCAGTCCTTTCACATAAAGATAAAGACGTGTGAAACGTAAAAACTAATTACTTTCACTGTGAGAGTAGCTGCATGCACACTGCAACCAATTTTGATGTAAAGTCCGTGCTGAACAACTGCCAGCATGTCCATAATGCTGTCAGAGTGCAGCTCGCTCTGGCAGAAACAATCTGTGAATATATCTTCAAGATTTCTCACAAAGCCGTACAGCTGACTAGAGAAATGGAAGAGGCCACCTCAGTCACAATACTTTGTTAGCCGAGCAAGCTGAAAACTTTCACCAGGTGAGGTCACGTTGAGCAGCTTGACGCAATCTTGGCATTTTGTTCTAACATTGACAACGCATTTTCGTGCAACTTAGCCTGAAATATGGTAAATGAGCCTGGAGTCGCTTCTGACCACGTGCTGGTTGTAATAATCTGAAGCCTGCGGGCCAGCATTATGCTGGTGTACCATGATGTTTTCGTTCTCTCTTCAGATGCAGTGGTAGCAGCAGTTTGACTGCACTCCTCTCTATCAGTTGATGATTCGAGCGAGTCAACTTCCAACAAGGAGGCCAGGGTACCTTTCTCGCAGTTTCCATTGCTAACAGACCTAACCAGACCATAAAATGAGAGACAATTCACAGTGATTAGGAACTATGTTGGAGTTCGGTGATGAATATTGCCAGCAGCTTGTCTTACAATTCCAAAAACAAATTCTCAAGTGGGCCCTGGCTGGTCCTTGATGTCGTTAGGTACTTGTATCCAACCTTGGATGTCAAGTAGACAAGAAACTCGAGAGTGCTTGAAATGGTGAAGCGCAAGCCGGCTGCTGTCGAGTCACTTAAAAATCTACCAGTTCCATCGGTATGCCTTTCCCACTGATCAAGGTACGACAGGAAGTCCTTCAGGGTTTCTTCTTTCAAAGAGCCTGGCCGGAAAGCTTCAGCAGCATACCGTGATGTCATAACTGATATCAACTGGCTCCCCTTGTTGAAAAAAAAT